TTATGACAGCCTTCTGAAGTCTGTTCACAACACAGCATTTGCTCCATGAGGAATACCACATGGCATGTTACATCTCAAGGAAAGTAACTATTTTCAGAAATGCTACCCATTGAGACTACAGAATTCTGAAATACAAGAAGAGGGGTTTCTCCCTGTCTACCATATCCCTGAGGCAGATGCATGATACAGAGGCCAGAACGCCATGCAGGGGCTGGTGTCGCTGGTGCAGTGCTAGGTGATGCCTAAAAAAGCAAAGGAAAAACATGGTGTACATTCAAACTTCCAGGTAGGGCACAGACCTGAGGCACTTCTAGGTTGCTAACAAATCAAGCCACTGATGTACCATATGCTTACCTCAACTTTCAAACCATTGTCCTAACTCAAGGGCCTAGCCTGCCTAACTCTCCTTCATTACCTATTCTAGAGCACAGAAAACAGAGCTCCTGATCTGGAAAAGACAATAGTGTTTTTGCCACCACACATCCCTCAAGGTAAGCATGCCCCTCAGATAATGCTTTTTACTTCCCCTCTCACAGACACCCCCCCATCGCCCCATTTTTGTCAATGTGGTTCCAAATTAATTTGAGACTTGAACTGACCTTCATTTTACTGTTGTTAAAGTAAACTGATTTTTATATTATAACATGTATCATGTTAGGCACCTTGGACACAAAAAATCGTGAGTTGGAGGTAAGGGGCTCCCTTCAAAGCCAAGCAGCAAGTTAGGAAGGGCAACAGATGCAATCTATTATCTCATTCTTGTAGCCGGTATTCTTCATCATACCTTGAAAGGATACATTTCTTTGTGCAACAACTTGGCTGACAGTGTATCTCCATCTGAGTGACGATCCAGAATTGGATCCTCCTCCAAAGGTGTGTTTTAGATGCACACAGATGGCTGTGGTAGAGACTGCCTTGATTTGGCATTTGATTGCAAATGTTTCATGCAGTCTGAGGACTTGACTAAATTGCTTCTGAGAGGCAGAGATACCTGGAAAAGTGGTGTCAACATGCACAGTTGTCACGAGAAAGTGGAAAGGCACTATCCCTTCCAGCTCATAGGGTAGGACCTTATGACTTTAAGGGGATTTTAAAGGGGAAAAAGATAGCCACATTTTTTCCCAGCATAGCCATATCCCTGAATTGAGGGCACCTTTCCACCTCTCAGGTAAGGGATTACCACAGAAAACAGACCCCTCTCACTGGATTTGACATCCAGTGCAGGTTGATGGGAGTAAATACTCAGGTGGAACCTAACTTCTCTTCCCCTAGCATTCCCTGAGAAGAATGAATGACGGAACAGCCTGGATGTTACAGGCACCACCACTTTGGCCTCACAGTGTCTCAACCATTCACTTCTGTTCAAATGCAGCATCTCCAGCCACTGCTCCTCTGGGGAACTCTCTCTCAAGCATGAAGTACCTCCTACACCTGATCCAAGCAATGACGCTTGGTTACAGGCTCGGTAAGGCAGCACAGGCCTTCTTCTGTGATGGGCCACATGTTATTGCAGCAGCTATTGCAGCAGCTACAAACTGATGCTAGGGGCAAAATAAGAATTGAAAGCTTGCATAAGAAACACCATACTTACAACACACTTGGATAGACAGTCTAGCCCTTGCAAGGGAACAATGGGGATTTATACTGCTGTTCCAAGAGAGAACAGAGTCCTTTCAGCTGTCAGACAGCTCAGATGTAAATCAGCACATGTGGTTGCAGCTTTATGAGGAACCCCAGTCACAGTAATGTTATCTCGCGTTGTTTCTTCTTTCCTCTTTTCTTTGCCTCCAATCCTTCCTCATCTATTTCTTCCTAGGAGATGGTTATCCAGACAGTATCAGCAATGCCAGTATCTTTCTTAGCAGGTTATTTTTTTCTCTCTGGTCCACCTACTCCTCAGGATCCTTAGAAATCAGCATCTTCTTAGCTATCTCTACTTGTATTCATTCACAGCAGCCAGGCCAGGATCTTATTTCACGCATAGTCCAGGATACAATATGTCAGATATTAAGATCACAGAGAACTTCTTTCATACACCTGAATTTGCTCTGGGATGTCCAATCCCCAAACAGGTTGGGGATAAGGCAAAGATGCAACACTGTTCCTGTGGCTTTGGGTGCACACCCAACCAAGCTGAGACTCACACCACACAGCACACCAGGAACTGGATTCCCAGGGATTTTCTCTGAACCTCTGGCATGGACTTCTTGAAGACAGGACAGACACTTATGAATATCAGCACAGGCCAGCAGATGTGTTTGGCTGCCAGGAGATGACAGCTTCTTACAAACATGCATTCATTCTCAACATGCTCTACCTTAGCCTCAGGTCAAGCCTTTCCTTGAAAAGCCTTTCCAAACCTTGGCATAAAGGTTGCTTTCTTTCAATCAACATAACCACAAATCTGGGAAGAGAGTATTTTTACTGTCTGATAGTATTACACTATCAGCAGAAGAAACTTCAAGCCTGATTAAACCCAATTCTAACCACAGACAGCATGGAATCAGATAGACTATTCAATAGTTTATTGAAATCATCAACTTCAAGGCTTTTTTTTTTTTTTTAATTAAACATCAGCTGGCAACGAACTGCATCACAACTATGAGCCCACAGAGCTTTCGGGGAGGAAGAATAAGGTTTGAATGAACATATTAGTTATTTCAGACATGATACATTTCTACTCAGGTGTAAGCTTAGCTTGTCAAATTGAAATAACAGGGTCTTATCTCATATGGACATTTGCTTTTGCCTAATCCTCTACTAACTCAAGGAGCATGCAGCATGCAGAAAAACTTTAGGTTCCTTTTTCAAACTAGCCCTTACACCTGGTTTCCAGAGTTGATCAAGAGTACATCTGTAAACAAGGAATAACTGACAAAAAGCTTGTTTTGTTTTCTGTCTCTCCTAATGTGCATTCTGCTGGGGTATGCATATTCACTCTCTCTGGGATTCATCCATATTAAATACAGTCAGAAGGACTTCACCAGATTAGTTAAACTAAATGGATAGCCATATAACATTCTTTTGTTCATCAGACAGCATAGCTGACAAACAAACATTACAAACAAACCAGTAAGCATTTTGAGGCCAACCAAACTGCAGTCCAAAGGTCTTCTTTAGAAGTAGTAGACACATAATAGAACTCACCTGTGAAATATAAACTGAATCTTTAAAAACTCTCCAAAAAGATGCCTTTGGATTTTTGTCAAGTAAAATGCAAAGGCAACATCAGTGCAATAAAAAACCCAAACATAAAACCACATGCTTGAATATAGTGGAATATAACCTGAACTCACTGAGTTTTATGGGAAGACTTTCTCTATTTCTACCAGCATTAGGACAAGATGACTGAAAACCAAATACTGGAATCTCAAAACACTAAACATCTTCAGGGAGATGTCAAGCATCTACTACTGGCTCAATCAAATGCATTTTCAGAACACTTGCTATATCATTATAGTCAATTAAACCCCAGTTTTGAAAGTGCCTTTACCATCTTTGAGAGCTCCTCATGTTGGCTTTATAATAACATACAGAGCAGATATAACAGCTTATTAGCTGCACCAAACACCAATTTGGCAAAAGGGTGTCTTGCAATTGCAAGGGTACACAAATTTACTGTCCTTTACTTTAGCTAAGCCATCCAGTATTGTCCGCTAAGCAATCCAGTATTGTCCACTAAACCATCCCATTTATTATGGCTCTAATCTGGAAAAGGAGACAGAATAAGCTCCTGTCCTAAACACAGGAAGAAAGAAATCAAAGCACTTTAAAATTCATTGTTAAAATTACAAATGCTCATCACTGCTGTATAAAGAGCAAGAACTTATTGGGACTAATCTAGTTTTCTGAGAAATTACTCAACTAGAATGAATAGATTTACACCAATGAGACATAAAAGCTCCCAGCCCCTCTATGAGATACTGAAAACTTCCAAACAATATAATCTACATGTAATTTCCTGTATCACTCTTCAGAAATGCCATTTAAGAAAAGAAAAATAGGAACACTTGCATGAAAAAAGGATCTTTGCATCCAACAGCCTCATCTTCCCCCACTGATTAATATTTTCTGAGGGCTCAAAACAGGAGCTGCCAATAGAAAAGGAAAGCATACAATCAACTTAACTGGGCACAAGAGTGACTTTTACCTCATAATGAGAAAAAGAGGACCTGCAGTACAAATCTGAGAAATGCACAATTGATCTGCACAAAGATGTATGTTGACTGAGCCAAACCATCATAACTCAAAAACATATGGCCCCATACCCGAGAAAAGTTCACAGACTGCACAGCCAACAAGTAGGCAATGGATGCAGACAATATGAGGAAAATACATGGACAGTACAGATGCGTAGTGCCAGGACAAGGGGTTCAAACAGTCCAAACTCCTAAAACAATACCACCATTAACCACCTCCCTACATGACAGAAAAGGAAGGATGCTACCAAGAATAGCAGTTAAAGGCTTACAGGCATCCTAAAGTGTCTCATTTTGACCACTGGTACAAAAAACCATCAGAGAAGCGAGGAAGGAAGGAAGGAAGCTACACAAAGATGTAGCTTTGCAGCCCTCCTCCAACAGAGGGAAGACCAAGAAGTCTGAATCTCATTGAGGGAAAAAAGGCCATAAGCAAATTGATCAACTCTTTTTAAGTGAACTAACACAATGTCATGTTTTGGCCATCCCTACTACGTACACACATGACAGCCTTGACATTGCCAAGCTCAGCAATACACACTCCAACTCCCACTGCTCACATTTTCATCTTCCCACATGACAGTACAAACCATCTATATTCAATAGTCCAGAGCAGTATTTTTAGATATCAAGGCATGTGCAGGCACATGAAAAGACTCCACGGTGTTTACTTTTGACTACATAAGAATCTTCATAAACATGGTTTTGCATGCCAAAGGACATTTCTGTTTCACAGCAGCTGTAATATCCATGTGAACTGCCATGCAATTAAAGCTCACATGTGCAATTGTCTTTTCTTACCAGTCATTATTCTCTGGGCTTCATATGGTTCCATATAGCCAGTGTTCTCCCCTTTTCCCATTCTGTTCAACTCACTTTTGGCATCAAACGGATCTGAGTAGTCATCAGCTATCAATACCTGAAAGACAAGAAAGTAACTGTTACTAGAATCTCCAGTCAGATGTGCAAACTAGAAGGCAGTAACACCCTACCAGCAAAAAACCCAGTTTCACACAGCTGCATCCTATGCCATCTTCAGAGTACAGTCTGAGTTCAGAGGACAAATACACAATTGCCACAAATCAGTTTACTAAATGGTGCTGAAATAGAAGTGTGCTCCTGTTCATACCAGAAACCTCTCAAAGGCAGACTCTGTGTCAAAAGATTTCTGACTAGTGCAAGATATGGAATAATCGGGATGGACAAATTAGAAAGATCCAATCAGTCAGCACATTCAGTCCAGTGCAATCCTTATCAGAGAAGTTTGCTAATATTCAGCAAAAAAAGCACACTTTCCCTTGCACTTACTTCACCCCCTCTGCTTTTTAGGTTTATCAGCTACAACTGAAAATATTGTTAAAGTATTTTCAAAGAAATACTCAAAGGCTATTCTTTTCACTGCATTAATAAGAAGCTTTGTAATTTTAGTTCTCAGTTGGAAAGGAACAAAACAGAAAACAAGCTTCTTGTTTAAACTTAGTTCCTTGAACCCATCTGTGCCAATCTTTCTCTCAAAGGAACATTATATTTACCTGTATTTTGTGAACTAGGACAAAAGGCAGCAAAAAGAAATTATTTGTCAGAAGAACAAGTTTCCTTTCAACGTTAGGAGACTAGAAAAACCTGAAGGTTAGAAAAATCTCACCCCTTACTCTACATTACCTCGCTCCCCTGACCCCTGCAAAATCATTTTGTGCTGTGTAAGCCCCATTGGTTATATAGGTTTTTTAATCAGCTGATTAAAGTAACAGGAATCATTTCTCCATATTACTGAAGGGGTAGAGTTAATCTTGGTTTCTATAAACTGACAAGGGGACCAGGGCAAATAAAAAAAATCCTCATATGAGAACTGCAGGGCACAGAGATGTAATGTAGGACAGACAAAAGAGTCTGAAGCAGAGAAAGCAGAGGCAGGCCTCAGCATCAGAATCCCCTCAGAATCATAAAATAATTCAGGTGAGAAAGAACCCCGGGAGATCACCCTGTCCAACCCCTCACTCAAAGTAGGGCAAGCCTAAAGGGTTCTGCCCTGAAGGCCCCCTGTCTTTAAGAGGGATTTTTCAACTAAGACTCTTTCTGTGTCACCAGTTACTTTACATCTTTAAGACCAGCACCAGTAAGACTGACAGCAGACTGCTATTCCAACAACTTCAATCTTTTCAACAAAGAACCAGGAGTACATTGCCAGCTATGAGACTGAAGCTGCATCTGCTTCTATCTCCTGCTGCCAGCATACCCCATCAGACAGAGCAAAAAACAGGACACACAAGCATTTCCAGATCAAATGCCTGCACAAATGCATGGAGTAAAGGAACAATTTATTACAAAAGGCAGAGATCTCCATTAAGATTAGGGAATAAAACATCTAACACACTTTGGAGTCACTACTTAGGCCCTGCAACACTGCCACACTGCAATTTTATACTAGTTATTTTGCTTGCCACCCCCCCCCCCCCAAAACAAAACAAAACAAAAAACCAGTCAACCAAAAAAACCCCATCACATTCCTCAGCATAAGCTCCCAACCCTGGACTACAGACCACTCGCAAGCACATTCCAAAGAAGGGACATTTTAGAAGATGTATTTGTTATCACTGAATACACGGATGTGAGTGTCAGAGCAAGACTTAGCTGTGCTACAGACACAGGTTAACAGCTGGGATACCAAAGTATCTGGGGTTGATGTTTTAATTAGAAATTAATTGTGTTTTGCTCCACTCAAAGTTTAAAGTGACTGGAAGTTTCTGTTTGACGAGAAACTACCAGACTGACATGGATAAAAGGGAGAAAAAAAAATTTCTTTCTCTCACTTAGTGTCCAAAATTACTGCCTCATTATTGTGAAAAACAGTTAACCCAAAGGAAAGAAGTCCCTTCTCCCATGTCTGGCAACATATGCCCAAGCAGCAAATCAAGTGACAGCAGCTGCACACACTTAAGACAAAGACAACAATCACACAGCTAATTTCTCCTAGTCACAAGGACAGGTTTATCTCCAAAAGTGCTGCAGCTGAAATGCCATCCATTTAGTCTTCTGATGCAATCCTGTCAAGAGCTGCTGGATGATAGCATGGGCTCTGTGCCGCTCTCTATTACAAACGTTGACAAGTAATACTCGCCAATCCTTAGCATAACTGTACTAAAACGTGAAACATAAAGCAGTCTAACACAGTTATTTGATATTTCTTCTTCTCAATTTGCCAAAAATACACTAGGAGGAAAATCATACATATACAATGCTGTCAAACAAGATAAAAATTAAGACTGATTTGCTTAAAGCATAATGGTAACATATTCAAGAGCTTCCTGTATTGAACATGAACAGAAGGACTAAAGCAACTCACTTGTTATTCAGAAGAGGTCTCACAAAGCAAAAGCTGCTTTCTAACAAGAAAATAAAATAAAAAAAAGTAAGGAGGTCCAAACCCACGTTATTTGATTATTGTATTTATTACTATTATTCTATTTTATTATCTGTAAATCTGTACCAGATCAGATTGAGGCTGGAAATATATCCACTACAGTAATCCCTGGAGTGAAAACCTCCCCTAGCTTGGACAGTGGGTGTAAACTCCTCCCCTTCAGATGAATAATAGTGTCACAAGCACTACGAGATTCTATATGGCTCACCATAACTACGTTTTCAATCAGGTAACCTATCAAATCTGCCAGATTGGGCAAACCAGCTCCCCCAAATGACCACCCCCCCCCAAAAAAAAAAAAAAAAAAGACCACCCCAAACCAAAAAACCAAACAACCCTCCCCAAACAAATCCCAGACCCACTTTTCAGCACTCAGTCAGGCAGAAAGAGCAGTCTGCTTTACCTTCCTGGAGCTGTATACCTGTATTTCCTTATTACAAGTAGCTTTACAGCTCTGAGCTGTCAGAGGGCTCCCTAAGTGACTGCTACCTTTTCCATACATATTAAAATTTACTAATTCTCAGCCTAGATATAGCAGCTGGCCAGTGCCATCATTTGATTTCTTCTATACTTGCTAACAGCTATAAATTCTCCACTTACAGGAAGGCTCAAGTTTTTCTACTTCTTTAATAAAGAAGCATTCATTCAAAAAGGCTTGAAAACCTCAAATGAGTATGCTTGTTAGTTTTGTTACAACATACCTATTGTAGATGTCTAAACTCCTTTTCACATTCCCATTATGGAAGATTATTTCTCCTGTTCTCAGAGATCCCAGCCAGAAAAAGGGTTCCTACTCTGCAAGTCTTTGTGCCATCTCCCCAGAAATTATTTTACCTTAGCAAGCTCATCTTTCAAGCCTATATGCAGTAGGTCAGACAAAGTACAGACAAAGTCTTCTGATGAATGACAAGGTTCTGAACAGAAGTTTTCTAGTCATGGTACATACAATAAACAAAACATTTGCTTCATGTCAGAGGGTATGAATACATTGTCCTCATACCACTTCATGCCATCCTCACAAAGCCCAAGCTTGCCAATCTTACATTCAAGTTCTGTTCACAAGCCTATGAGTATCCCAGGTACATCCCTTGAATGTGCAGTAGGGCTCTGCAGATCATGATCTTAATCACCTCCATGCCATGTGAGGAAGATCCAATATTAGAGCACCATGCTGTCACCTGTCCCCCATGGGCATGTAGGAACAGCCCTTTCTGTGTGATAATCAAAGTGCCTCCATGTTCACCAGGGCTCATCAGTGTTCCAGACAGGGATATTTGTGTTGTGATTTTTTTTCTCCCAACTTTCAGCCACTGCCCAGCAAACCGGTCTCAGTCAGTCATTTGTTTTCTGAGGTCCAGAGGCCAAGGCGACCACAGAAGATCCCGGCTTATGGCCTGCATGCAGTGCCCTTCCCACATCTTGGGTTACGTGCACTTCCAAGGCAAATGGCTAAACTTGTTCAACTGGCCTCCAAATTGATCTTTCATTTTAGTGACTGACAAACACAGGACAGGAAAGAGAAGGGAATGGATGCCATCCATCATCTACCAATGCATCCCTCTCAGAAGTCTCAACTGGTCAGGCTACCCAGGATCTAAGTCTGTACCTGCCACATCTGCCTTAGACACAATCAGAGGAGTGGCAACATGCTGAGGTTTCGTAGCTGCAGGCTAGAGAGGGCATTCACACACAGGGTCTGACCTTTGCAGTGGGACACAGTTAACTTGCCTCTCCTCTCTGCCAAATCCAGCCACCTTTCATGTGGGTCCTACCTGTCAAAATGAATCACAGCTATCAGGGAATCCCCAGAAGGCCTCAGGCAGCCATTCAAATTCCAAATTCATGTCTCAATTGGCTGCATTTGTCAAGGCTATTGTTAAAGACCTGTGGCTTATCTCTTAACAGAATGCAAGATTATCAGAGTGGACTGTGAGCTCCTACAACTACTGATTCCTGTTCTATACAAGCCCACCCTACAGCACCCCATACACATACTATTTTCTATCGTGTAGATCTAGTAATAGTAACTTGAGGCATGAGTAACTTCAAGCAAAAGAAGCTCCAAAACATAAATAGAAGTGCACTGATCAAAAGTAAGTGAAACTTGAATTCGAGCTTCCGTGATCAGAGGGAACAAGGATTTAGGGAACACTCACAGTTCTCTCTAGCAGGTTGTCTGTTAAAACTCAAAGGCAAAAGAAAAGGAGTATGGCTCAGTTACCTGAGAAGTTGACAAATTCAAAACCATAGCTTTAGCTAAAAAGTCAGTTAGCAGATATAAGATTAAAAAAACCCAACAACAAGCCCCCCCCCGCCCCCGAATATTAAATACAAGCTGAGATTCTGGTTTACCCCTTTAATATATATATTAACTAAGGTGCAAGCTTCACTGTTGATGCATAGTCTTTGTTCTTCTACAGTCTTAAAAATTCCATTTAAGACCTGCATATATTATTATAATAAATACAAGTTTAAATGAGTATCTGCATATGCAAAAG